CAGGTGGCGGCCCCGCCCCCGCAGCCGCCCGGAGGACACTTAGCGCCCGGGCCGGGCCGCCCCCGGCAGGTCGCGCCTCCAGGCACCGCCGGCCTCTGGCGCCCCGTGCGCTCCGCACCCCGCAGCCCCGGGCGGCCGCGTCCCGACCTGGAAGTTGCGGGTTCCGTGAGCCGAGACCCGGTGTCCGAGGTCGCGAAGACCAGCCGAGTCCGAGGCTCGCGTGTGCCGTGGAGTCGCGTGCGCCGGGACTCGCCCTCGTCCCCTGGGACCATCCCGCGCACCCCCCCCGCCCCCAGCCTCCGCCCCGCGTCCCCGTCTCGCGACCCGGAGGCGCGCCGGTGTCGGCCCCCGCGACCCACCCCTCGGGACGTCCCGGCGCGCAGACATGCGGCGCGCCAAGCCTGGCGCCCTGCCGCCCCTGCTGCTCCTGCTCGCGCTGGCGTTGTCCCTGCCCGGGGCCCAGGCGAGGCCCCGGGGTCGCCGAGGAGCCCGTGCCGTGGACCAGGAACCCCAGCCGTGGCCGTTTCTCCCCGCGGCCAGGGCCACCCGGAGCACAGGTAAGCGGTCCCTGTCGCGGCCGGACGTGCGCTCTGACCCTGGGGGCTGCCCGCTGCGGGACACCGCAGTTCAGCAGGGCAGGGACCGGACCGTCTCTGCACATGACTGGCTCTCAGGAAAGCAGGTAAGGAGTTTATTAGACTTCGCCTTGTCGAGACTTAAGTAGCAAAAAACCCCGTCTCACGAAGGAACCGGCGTGACCCGGCGAGGGAGGCCCTTTCCGGAGGCAGGTGCAGCGGCCGAAACCCCGCGGTCGGCCTCCGCCCACCCGGGCCTGGCGCACGGTTCCCGCCCTGGAAGCCCCTCCTCCTGGGTCTGACTGGGCCCTCGAGAGCTGAGCAAGAACCCTGCCTGAACGCGCAGACACAGCCTGACCGGGCTCGGGGAGCCCCGCTTTGCTTCCCTCTTCTAGCTGGCCTCCGGGAATGCTTGAGGCGCACGCGGTTTTGAGCCGGCCGAGGTGGCTGTCGTTAACTCGCACCTTCCCGAGGCCAGGCTCCCAAATCAGCCCTGGAAACTCAGATCCCTGGCTACTTAGACGCCCAGGGAGGGGATGACGGAAGGACAGGGAACAAAACTAGTCAACATAGATAGAGGTCACGAGCCTCCCCAAGGTACAGAAGTCCAGGATGGGGGGCCTGCTGGCTCAGTCCGTTGTGCCTCTGGCTCATAACTTGAGCTCAGGTCCTGATCTTGTGGTTGTAAGATCGAGCCCCTCGTCAGGGTAGCCGCTGACAGCTCGGAGTCGGCTAGGGATTCTCTCCCTCTTTCTCTGCCCCTCCCCTGCTCTCTTGCTCTCTCTCTCTCTCTCTCTCTTTCTCTCTCTTTTCAAAATCTAGCATTTATTCTTTATTTGCAGCTCACAGAACTGGTTTTGAAGGAGCCCACTCTGGGGAAACATTGTTTTGGCCGCTTCACGCAGCCCAGCTCTACCTCAGCCTCTGGGGGACACGGGTGGGGGGTGGGGTGGGGAGGCCAGGCGACGTGAGGCCAGAGCAGTGGGGAGGGGCCGCTTATGAGACCACTGCTGGCCCCTCTCCTCGGGTGTCCCCATTCCCCAGACACTACAGTATTGGAAATTAGGCCAATTAATAATCCTGCCGTGGCCTCTTAGTGTTCAAGTGAAAGGAGTGTCACATGTCTCTCAATCAAAAGCTGGAAACTCTTCAGCTTGGTGAGGAAGGCAAGACAGACCCAAAGCTAGGCCTGTGGCACCAAACAGTTAGCCAAGTTGCGACTGTCAAGGAGAAGTTCTTGAAGGAAATGACAAGTGTTACTCCAGCGAACGCACAAATGATGCAAAAGCAAAACAGCCTTATTGCTGACATGGGGAAAGTTTCAATGACCTGGAGAGAAGATCAGACCAGCCACGAGATTCCCTTAAGCCAAAGCCTAAACCGGAACAAGGTCCCGAACTCTCTTCGATTCCACGGACGCTGAGAGACCGCAGAAGAAAAGTTGGAGGCGAGCAGAGGTTGGCTCCTGAGGCTCAAGGAGAGAAGCCGTCGGCATAATAAAGAAGTGCAAAGCTGAGTAGCAAGGGCTGATGTGGAAGCTTCGGCAAGTTATCCAGGAGGTGTAGCTGAGATCATTAATGTAAGTCGCTACACTAAACAACGGAACTTCAATACAGATGAAACAGCCTTCTATTGGAAGGAGATGCCATGTAGGACTTTCATAGCTGGAGAGGAGTCAACGTCTGCCTTCAGAGCTTCAAAGGACAGGATAACTCTCTGGTTAGGGCTGATGCAGCTGGTGACTCTAAATGGAAGCCAGCGCTCGAAAAAAGATTTCCTTTCAAAATATTACCGCTCATTGACAATGCACCTGGTCACCCAAGAGCTCTGATGGAGACGTAGAATGACGTTAATGTCGTTAGCAGGTCTGCTAACACAACATCCGTTCCGTAGCCCATGGGTCAAGGAGTAATTTGGACTTTCAAGGCTTATCATTTAAGCAGTACATTTCACAAGACCATAGCTGCCAAACAGTGACTGGTGTGATGGATCTGGGTGAGCATATCGGAAACCTTTCTGGAAAGGACTCACCGTTCTAGATGCCATTAAGAACATTCGTGACGCACGGGAACAGGTCAGAATATCAATAGGGACAAGCGTTTTGGGAGCTGTTGCTTCCAACCCTCATGGATGACATTACGGGGTTCCGGACTTCAGGGAGGAAGCAAGTGCAGGTGCGATGGAAACAGGACGAGAAGTAGAGCCGGAAGTGGAGCCTGAACACGTGATGGGATTGCCGCCATGTCACGATCAGACTTTTACGGATCAGGAGCTGCTTCGCACGGATGAGCCAAGAAAAGTAGTTTCTTAGGATGGCACCTACTCCTCCTGGTGAAGATGCTGTGAATTCTGTTGAACTGACAGTCACGGATTCAGAATGTTCCATACACTTTGTTGATAGAGCAGTGGCAGGATTTGAGAAAATTGAATCCAGTTTTCAAAAGAGTTCTGCCGTGAACAAAATGCTATCAAACGGCATCACATGCTACGGAGAAATCGTTCATGAAAGGAAGAATGAGGTGATCCGGCAAATTTCACTGTTGTCCTATCTTATTTTAAGAAATGGCCCCAGCCACCTAGGCCTTCAGCAGCCACCAGCCTGATGAGTCAGCAGCCATCATGTGATGCAAGACCCCTCCCCCCAGCAGCAAAATGATTATGACTTGCTGAAGCCGCAGGTGATAGCACTTTTCAGCAATAAAGTATGTTTTTTTTTTAATTTTTTTTTAACGTTTATTTATTTTTGAGACAGAGAGAGACAGAGCATGAACGGGGGAGGGGCAGAGAGAGAGGGAGACACAGAATCGGAAGCAGGCTCCAGGCTCTGAGCCATCAGCCCAGAGCCCGACGCGGGGCTCGAACCCACGGACCGTGAGATCGTGACCTGAGCTGAAGTCGGATGCTTAACCGACTGAGCCACCCAGGCGCCCCAAGTATGTTTTAATTAAGATATGTACTTTAAGAAAAAAAATTTTTTTTAACATTTATTCATTTTTTGATAGAGCATGAGCGGGGGAGGGGCAGAGAGAGAAAGTGAGACACAGAATCGGAAGCAGGCTCCAGGCTCTGAGCTGTCAACACAGAGCCCGACGCGGGGCTCGAACTCACGAACTGTGAGATCATGACCTGAGCTGAAGTCGAACGCTTAACCGACAAAGCCACCCAGGCGCCCCAAGATGTACCTTAAAAAAAAAAAAAAAAGACGTAATGCTATTGCACGCCTAACAGACTACAGTATAATATAAACATAACCTTCGTAGGCACTGGGAAAGCAGAGATGAACTTGGCTTGCTTTACTGTGGTGGTCTGAAACCGAACCTGGAATATTTTCAAGGTATGCCTGTATCCACCACCGCTCGTGTTTTGAGATGGACGCGGGATTTGTTTTCAGTCGGGCGTGGCAAGACCTGGAAATGACTGTCGTGAAGGAAGAAGTTTTGCTCACAGTTCCCTAGAAACCGGGTCACGGCGTGCCCCTAGGGGCAGAGGGGGAAGCGCCAGGTTTGGTCGGGAGCAGAGTGGTTTCTTCAGGAGGGGCAAGGTGAGCTGGTTTAGGACCGGCCAGTTGGAATGATTTCAGCGGGCTCCGGAGTGTAGGGCGGTATGTACCTGTTTGGTTCCTGGCCCTGGGGAATGAGGGCGGGGGAATATTGGCCTTGACTGTGAGGACTGGATGAGGCCGGTCGTAGGGGCCTGGGCTGTGGATTGGTTGGTTTGCAGATGAAAGGTGCGCTCGGGCTTTCCTTTCTCCGGAATCGCTGGCCAGCTCCGAGAGGGGCCATCTCTCCGGGGCCAGCAAGGCTTCTGATGTTAAAGCCTCAGAAATACAGGAACTGGAAAGGCATGATTTCCCCTTCTTCACCACCTTTGCCCGGGTGCCGGCTGGCCCTCCGTTCTCTGTTCCTGCCCACCGCGCCCCTGGGCTCCGCTCATTGGCCAGGAGACACCTGTTAGTCTTCATCTTACTGGAGATCTCCTTTCTTTGTTGTTGTTCTGGGGCGTTCGTCCCGTCTCTTCTCACCTAGACATCTCTTGCTTATCGCTTGGGGTGTCAACTTAATGATCACTTCTCTGTTTCCTTCACGTCAACCTGCTATGTGTTCCTATGTTATGTTTGTACTTTGAAATGACAATTCCAGTGTATTAAAAGTATGGTTTCTCTTGGCGACCTGTCTGAGCTCAAGCAAAGCATTGATTGTTTTCATTTCAAAGGTAACAACCTCCTCAAGGGGTCATCCTCTCAGCTTTTAATTCCTTAAACATTTCCTAGATGTTCCGTCCGCAAGGCACTATTGTACATCCTGCAGGTGATAACACACGAACAAGACATCGTCCCTTTCCTTAAGAAGCCCATGAGGGCGCATGGGTGGCTGGGTCGGTCCAGTGTCTGACTCTGGGTTTCCACCCTCTTCCTTGCTTCGGGCCTTTTCTTTACTGGCGCTGATAACAGGGTCAGTTTAGGCAACAGACATCACTTACTGTCTTGAAGGTGGGCCTAGTGAGACTGATGTGTGCTGCCCGTAGGGGGCTGCAAATAAATATACCAACCACAAGTTTTTATTCAGTGTTTCACATAATCTAGTAATGCATTGATTTTTGACATAGGCATTTGTATTGGTTTAAACTTCTCATAATTGTTTTTCATAATTATATATTATATCATTAGACATAGGTACAAAATAGGGGTGCCTGGGTGGTTCAGTCACTTAAGGGTCTGACTCTTGGTTTCTGCTCAGGTCATGATCTCACAGTTTGTGGGTTTGAGCCCTGCATCTGGCTCCACGCTGACAGTGCAGAGCCTGCTTGGGATTCTCTCTCTCTCTCTCTCTCTCTCTCTCTGCCCCTCCCCTGCTTGCTCTCTCCGTCTTTCTCTCAAAATAAATAAATAAACTTACAAACATAAGAGCCCACAATATTGTTTGGAGCCAGACATGTCCACAGTTCACTATTATGCTAATCGGAATGTGACAATTTCCTTTATAGAAGTTAGAAAGTGTGCAGTGGGGGTGTACAAGAGGGGGTAATTTATTTAAAATGTGTACCTTTCTGGGGCGCCTGGGTGGCTCAGTCGGTTGAGCATCCGACTTCGGCTCAGGTCATGATCTCGTGGTCCGTGGGTCCCAGCCCCGTGTCGGCCCCGTGCCGACAGCTCGGAGCCTGCAGCCTGCTTCGGATTCTGTGTCTCCCCCTCTCTGCCCCTCCCCCACTGGCACTCTGTCTCTCTCTCTCAAAAATAAGTAAACTTAAAAAAAAATTAAAACGTATACCTTCCAAACCCGAGTGTCACCGTCGTGCCAGGTCTAAATACTAAAATTATAGTGGAAAATACGTTTGGAACTAGACCTACTCTGATCTTCGAACACGCTTTCGCCAAAGTGCTCCTTCTGCACTCGGCCGGCTCAGCTTTCAGAAAGGGCCAGGGGAGCTGCTGTGCCAGATAAAACGTGGAGTATTGACACCACAGGAGCCAACTGGCTCAGCAATTGGCTGAGAGGTTGCAGAGAGATATGGAGGAAGGACCCATGTTCAAGCTGGACTCGAACGGATGAGAACACCGGGATATTTATATAAAGAGATATTTACATCGTCACGGTTGCTTTGTTTTTCCGGGTTAGTTTGGATGGGTCATAAAGTGTAGGTGTTTGTTGTCAGGGGGAGGGGAGCTCCACTCCAGCCGCAGGCCTACCGCCCTGACAATGCTGTTCTGGGCTGGCACAGGGCTGCGGGGAGCAGGGAGCCGCCCGGGCAAGGAGGGGCTCTCACAACCCTCATTAACTGTAGGATGTGAAGGGCGTTAGCATTCCCGAGTCTTTGTTTTACAGCGCCTGTCTCAACAAGGCCACACAAATCAGCGTGGTCATTCCGACTCACGTGTAGGGAGGTGACAAGCATTCGCACCCCCATTAGACTCATTTGATGTTCGACGCGCACAGGACTCAGTTATAAGGACATTGAAGGTTTAAATCTGCCACTGCCAACAAACATCAGGTTCAAGATTTTTTAACGGGTCGGTTTTCTTTTCCTCTAGAAGAGTGGCGCATACTCTCCCAACTGTTTTTATAAATAGCATTGTCTGGGCGGTGTATTTATAGGGAATACAAGGTGAAGGGTGGGATGCACTTTGAGTTTTTATATTCACTTATTTAAAGTGCCAAGCCCTTGGGGCGCCTGGGTGGCTCAGTCGGTTAAGCCGTCTGACTTGGGCTCAGGTCGTGATTCGTGTGCTCCAGCCCTGCATCCGGCTCTGCACTGGCAGCACAGAGCCTGCTTGGGATTCTGACTCTCTCTCTGCCCCTCCTGTGCTCGCGCTTTCTCTCTCTCTCAAAATAAATAACTAAAATAAAAGTTAAAAAAAAAAAAGAAAAAAACTAAAGCGCAAAGCCCTTTAAGTGGGAGAACATCCTGGCCTGGAGCCCATTTCCGTTCATTTGTTCCCGCTGTGATGGGGAGAGTGGGTTGGGGACGGAGAAGACCCATCAGGAGGCTGTTGGCCGGGTACAGTCATGAAAGCATGACGGCTTGGGCCAGTCTCGTGGTAATGAGAGGAAACACAGGTGTATGGGTCGCAGATCATTTTTGGAGGTGGAATGTATGAAATCAAGTAATGGATCGTATATAGCAGAGAGGGAGAGAGGAAAGTCAAGCATGTCTTCTTGATATCTGGCCCGAGCCAAGAGTAAAGAGTGATGCCAGGTAGGAGACCAGGGAGTGTGGGGGAGATGCGAGTCTGGAACAGCAGGGAAATCAGACGTTCAGGTCTGGCTGTGTACTTTTGAGAGGCCTGTGAGTTTCCTGGATAGAGTGGTAGGGGCAAGCGGGTAGCCCCGGGGGAGGTCTGGAGCCCCCAGGGAACCTTCAGGGCTAGAGATACAGATTTGGAATCGGCTGCATGACCCACTGTGAGTTCATGAGTCAGGTGCCTGTCGTTATAGCCTATTTGTAAGGATGTTTTTCATGATGGAAATGCCTCCCACAGATCCTAAAACTTTTTTTTTTTCTTTGCAGAAATGTTCCTAAAAGATTCGAACTTAAAAGACAAATTAATAAAGCATTTCACAGGTAAGCACGAAATTTACCAGTGACTCCATTAAATAAAAGGATTGTGTGCAAATTACTGTGTTAGGCACTTGGCATTTGAAGGGAAATGTCTGTAAGAATCTCAGCAGTCCAGTTAGGGAAGTGGACAGATGCCATTAACTTGTATTAATGGTAATATAATCCCGACCTTGGTAAGTAATAGAAGTGTAAATACAGTTTTAGGGATACACAGAAAGTGAGTAATTTTGCCAAGAACCAGCAGGATAGGCTTGTTGTCGACACTGTACTTACGTTGGGCTCTAAGGAATGAATGGTACTTTCCTGGATGAGAGAAGCATTCTGGTCACAAGGAATTCTTTGAGAACATGGTAGTTTGGGGGCAGGACAGGTAGACGGTGTGGGTGCACTGTGGGGTATGGTTAGGTAAAGGTGTGTGTGGCCACTGGGTAAAACTATGGCTGAAAATGTAGGCTAGAGTCATACTGTGAAGGGTCCTAAAGAGAATGTAAGGAATTTAGACCAAGCTCTCCAGCTGATGGGGGCAATAGAGGTTTTTTTTGTCTAGGGGAAAGACGGGCTTTCGTACACCATACCTTAAGCATGGAATACTCTTCCATGATATTGTTTTGTTCTTCATATCAACTTTGTGAGATCATTGGAACGCATCCTGTGCCTCCAGTGCTAGCAAATGACTAAATTGTTTTGAACCAAGCACCCCCATCCTGACCATTCCTCTTGCCTGGCCATTCCCAATCGTCCCAGCTACCTTTCCTTAGTTTACTTCTCAGGCCTATAAGCTGGGGAAGATACAGTTTTCCCCACTTAACCGAAGCCAGCGGCCATGTTCGTTAATCAACTTCAGAACAATGGTTTTGCGTATCAAGCCAAGACCCCCCTGAGCCCCAGCAAGTGTAAGGAATTTCCCAGTATTGTGTCTAGGTCCTCTGTTCACGCCACTGTGGGCCCTTCTACCACTCCCAGAAAGCCAGACTCCAGATATAGAGGTGAATTTTGGTGGGGACTGTCTGGGATTTGTGGCAATAAAAAGGAAGTCTCAAGGCCCTATTCACTTTACAATAGTCCTTGACACTAATAAGACACAAATTACTATAATTAGAAAATGGAATAAGGCTCTCTGCATATAAACATTAATTCCTATTAAATAAAAAATTGAAGAGGGGTGCCTGAGTGGCACTCAGTCAGTTAGGCATCCGTCTTCGGCTCGGGTCATGATCTCCCGGTCCGTGAGTTTGAGCCCCGCGTCTGGCTCTGTGCTCACAGCTCAGGCCTGGAGCCTGCTTTAGATTCTGTGTCTCCCTGTCTCTCTGCCCCTCCCCTGCTCGCAGTCTGTCTCCCTCTCTCAAAAATAAATAAATATTTAAAAAAATTAAAAAACTGAAGAACAGAAAGAGGGGACCAAAGATATTTATTTTTTATTTTTCACATCCTCTTGATTTGCTTTCTAGAGATTTTTTTTTTTCTGTCTAGAGCTTTTCTCTCTTAGTTATTCTGAAGAGTTCTTTAGAAACTGAAGGTTCCATTATGTGGAATGTTGAGAATTGATAGTGAATTTAGATGATTTTTCACAGATTACAATGTACTGCCTCCCACAGAGCCAAGATAAGGAGAAGTGCTTCCAGACAAGTTCTTTTAAGGGCATGGAAGGATGTTACGCTACAGTTGTAATATCTCCACCCATAAAGGCTAGCAAATCTGTTTGGAAAACATGCCTATGTTTATCATAAATGTTCTTTTCTTTTCCCATAGGGCCAATCACGTTTCCAGATGAATGTAGCATACATTTCCATCGACTGTATCACAATACCAGGGATTGTTCAACGCCAGCTTGTAAGTAGTTTGGATAGTTGTGTGTTGTTTTTTTTTTTTTCTTTTAGAAAAAGTCTGTTTCCAGCAATAAATGCATGTAATTTTAAACTTCCACTCTCTGTGGCTGGAAATAGACTAAACATTGTATGAGATGCTGTTTATAACACTGACAGTACTTAAGTAACGTTTGTGTGTGTCGTTGACGGTGTAAGGAACGGAACGTCATAATTGGGACTAGATCCAAATCTGAAAATAGCCAGGTTTCCTTACTGGATGAAATGTTTGTCGGAGATTTAAACCTTTTATCGTTTTTCAAATTCCTTGGCATAAAGTGCTTTGTCATATAAATGAAACACAAAAATAGGATGATGGTGAAGGGGAAGTCAGAATTTCCTCTTAAGTTATTTTAAACAGTTTCATATTGTATCATTTATACAACGAGTGATCCGTTGTTCTCAACAACGGTAGCATAGTGTTTTAAGGGTTGCTCTAATGAATTCTTTTGGACACTTAAGTTACTGAAGTTAATAGTCATTTCAAACGTAGTATTTTAAATGCTGTCATTGAAACTGCCTAAATCATGATCACGTGAGCTAATTCAGCTGTTTTTAAATTCCTTTCTGAACCTAAACTTCCCTTTTTAGGTAAATGGATTTTAAGCATTTTGCTTCTTCTCCACTAGATTGGCCATCTCGAGGAATATTCAGTTTTACTCAGGTTGTTGAGTCCGAGTTGTTATAATTTTTTTCAAAACTGCTTGTGTTCAATGACTTGGGGAAATGAATCACACCGGAATCAAAGCAGACTGAGTGATCCCACGGCACAGTGGGGCATCTTGCTCTTTGGACTCAGGCTGCTCGCTGGGTATGAGATAGATTCTTGACATTTGGACGCTGGGTTTTCCTGTTTGACTCTTAAGTGAACAACAGTAACATCTCCCTGATTGTGTTAGGAGGAGAATTCATGGAACGACCCCGGTTAAACATTTGTTGTGTTGGGTGCTTATTCAATTGTAGCTCTCATTACTAATCAGTGACAATAATAACATGGTTTTCCCGACACTTGTAGTAACTATATACGTAATTAACCTTTAAATGTTTTCCTAGATTACAAGAGATGTGCTAGATTGCTTACAAGGCTGGCAGTGAGTCCCCTGTGCTCACAGACAAGACCTGCCCTAGGAGTATGTATTTATTTATTTTTCTTATTCTGTTTGACAGGCTAACTTTCTTAAGAAATGTTGAACAATTGAAAAAGCCAGATAGCTGATGTTAGCAACACATAATGAACTTAACCTGTGGATTTTTTACTTAGTGTTAAAGCTTGGTCTAAATGCACAGACTGCTTTATTGAGTTCATTACAAATGCCCTCAACAGTGATTAAATTAAGTAAGGTAAACAGCTTTTTGGCAGCCTTACCAGTCCTGAGTGATTTTTTAATTTTTTTTTAATGTTTATTTATTTTGGAGAGAGAGACAGAGTGTGAGTGGGGGAGGAGCAGAGAGAGAGGGAGAGAGAGGGAGACCCAGAATCTGAAGCAGGCTCCAGGCTCCGAGCTGTCAGCACAGAGCCTGATGCGGGCCTCGAACTCATCAACGGTGAGATCATGACAAGCTGAAGTTGGACGCTTACTGACTGATTTTTTAAAAATATTTCGACCTTTGGGGTTATATTATTTTTGTGCAGAAGCCTTATGCAGGTAGACATTAGATGAACAAAACTATTTAAAGCTCTATTTTCTTTTCAGCTGGTCAAAAGATATAATAAAAGTTGTGCTGGGTCCTAAACTTTTGGTTTATGCAAGATAGGTAAGGAGAAGAGAGAAAGTATTGGAAGAATAAAAGAAAAAGCAAGGGATCAAAAACATAACCATGTAATCATCATCTGCTCTAGTATATACTTTGCCAGACTGAAATGGTAAGTCAGAATTTTCATTCTGGCTAAATTACCCTAAGAGCCCTAGGGTAATAAAGTATTTGGATAACCTAAATAAATCTGATGAAAATTATAATATTTACAAAAGTAGACTCTATACAAGAGACTGAAAGACATTCATTTTTTGCAGAGATCTTTCTACTCAGTAATTCTTTCCCAGTGCAGATCAAAGCCAACCTGTTTGGGGGAGGTGGGGGCGGGGGTCAGTATTTCAGTACCACGGACAAGTCCCTTTAAAGAAACTAGTTTCATAGCTTGTGAGGGTAGAAATGGAAGTCATGGGATACCTGTAGTCTAGAAGTATCTACATATATCTCCATCTGGCCTATGTGACTTAATCTACCCCAAGTAACTCATCTCACAGGTTTGTTGTGCCAGTTACTAAGACAATCCTGACTTTCATTGCTATTTTTATTCTTCTTTAAAAAGCAATTATAGGGGCTCCTGGGTGGCTCAGTCTGTTGAGCCTCCGACTTTGACTCAGATCATTATCTCGCAGTTCTTGAGTTCGAGCCCTGCATCGGGCTCTGTGCTGACAGCTGGTAGTCTTGAGCCTGCTTTGGATTCTGTGTTTCCCTCTCTCCCTCCCCCTCCCCCTCTCACACTCTGTCTCTCTCTGAAAAATAAATAAACATTTAAATAAATAAATAAATAAATAAATAAATAGTGATGGTAAATTAATAATAATGGGCACTCTTAATTCTGCATATTTTTAGTTGCTAAATTTTAAAAATTCTCTTTTTTAGATTAAGAAAATGAGCTAGATCATTTTAGCATTCAATGGCAAGGTACTTGAATTAATTACTCTCAATCTATCTCAAACCTTGTGAATAATGTAAAACATGTACAAATAAAGAAAATTCATTAGGCTGTTGAAATTACCTAAATCAAGCCACATTTATCTTTCTTGGTTTTAACATATTTTATGTGAATGAGTAAATAAACATAAAGTCCAAAACAACATATTAACTGCAAAAGTTCTCACAAAACAAGTACTGTGCTGTAATACAAAATATTGCCTACCGGCTAACTTCCCCTGAGACTAGATTCGTGGAAGACAGAGCTGATAAATACCCCCCTTGGAAACTGTAGAGTTTAGAGGTTTAGTGATTTCCTCTATAGGAGTATGTGTTTCTCATTATTTATTTAACAAGGTATTAGAAACACAGAATTACAGATTACTACGTTTTAGGAATATTTATAAGTTGTTTAGGTGATGCCAAGTTCATTTTTCAGTTTATTTAGATATCATAACACTTTAGTGGGGAAGTCATAATTGAAAGTATCTAAAAGTACTGATTGACCCTTTTCCCTTCCACACACACATTAGCCTATATTCTCAGGATTAGATTATGCATTGAGCCCACAGATTCTTTAAGCAAAATAAAATAAAATAAAATATGACTGTATTAAAACTATACATGTTTTTAAGTACATTAAAAACCAGATTATAAATGACATTTTTCTTCTTGTCCCTGATAGGCATTGCTTAAGAATATAAATGCAGCTTGAAGGAAAAAGTGCCTGGAATCATGCTAACTGTACGAAGAGGGGAAGCATCTAATTTTATGCTGTATTAAGATGAAAATCTCATCTGAGATTTTACAGAAATAATTGATTAGTTGTGTCCTTCCGTACAACGAAGTCTTTCTTGGTTTATCTTTGTGTATAGAGTAATTTGAAATGTTTTAAAACAATGCTTAAATCACACAACGTAAATAGAATATTAAAAAAGTGTGCTATTCTTTTATGCTTATTATATTATTTTCTTATATGGTTAATATTCCATATAGGTATGAATTAAAGATTTAATTACATAAATTATGTCTCAGAGTACTGGTGAGAAATGATTTAAGTAATATATTTTTTTGAATAATCCTGTATGAAGTCCACTTTTACAATTCTTTTAAATAATATTTAAATACACCCATTCAGATTTGTCTTTAACTGCAATAATTGGAAATATGAATTCTATTAAAACTGAAATATAAAAGATCTGTGTTGCTTTTCTTTGAATTGAATCTATTTGTCGCAGAAGTTATACTATTGGGATGTGATTACTACATATGTATATATGGATAAATATGTATTTTCTAAACTGCTAACTAGTCTCCTCAGAAAATTCCTGTCTTTCTGAAGTCTGGACATATGGTACTGCTGTCCTAAATAAAAAGAGGAGAGCTATATGTTATGGAGTTAGGAGAATATGTGGGCTGCCTGGATGCTCTGTTTGGATTTTTTTTTTTTTTTAATTTAAGTAATCTCTACGTGTACCGTGGAGCTGGAACTCATGACCCTGAGATCGAGAGTCGCACACTCCCCTGACTGAGCCAGCCTGTATGCATTCTGATACTTTGAAACAGCTTCATGTAAAAGCAACAGTGTAAAAATGAGAACCCTACAATAAAATGATAGAAAACCCCCATCCTTCTAAAGTAGACACAGCATGAGTGGTTTGCCAGGGCATAGCCAGCACAGGCATTGCCTCTCACTGCTCGTCCTCTGTCGTGTGGGCGTCAGGGACACAGGCATGTCTGTACTAGCCCATGCTTGTATGGTGCACCACGTTTGGTCTCTCCCATATCGGAGTGTATCCTGTCTGTGTGTGTAAACATACGTTCTCCTTTATCCATCAGAAAAACAAGCTCAAAAATGCCCTTTGGCTTCAGGAATATTCTGAAGCTACATTTTCAATTTCAGTGTTATTTATTTTGGCTTCTGGGCAAAGACAAGTAATTATGTTTAAAAAACAGAGGAGGTGGAATGGAATTTTGCAATAATGCTATGGAGTAAAGAACAGGAAAAATACCACCTTTTTAGTTCATTGCACTTAATGTAGTAATTATGGTATTTACAACATTCAGAAAAAATGAAGTAGCTTTTGCTCTTAACTTTCTAAGAGCTGGAGTGCTCTTTTGTAAAATGCTTATTTATTTTTGAGAGTGGGGGGAGGGGCAGAGAAAGGGAGGCGAGGATCCGAAGCAGGCTCTGTGCTGACAGCAGAGAGTCTGATGCGGGGGCTCGAACTCACGAACCGTGAGATCGTGACCTGGACCAAAGTTGTACATTTAACCGACTGAGCCCCCCAGGCAGGCACCCCGATAGTTGGAGTGCTATTTTTGTAAAAGTGAAGAAGAGGCTATTGAATAATGACAGGTAAGAACTTAATGGTAAGACATATTAGGCTGAAAAAAAAAAAAAAAAAGAGTAGGCCTGTTATGCCCAGAATTCGTGATCCCCAAAGACCACCAGGGAGCTGAGTCCGATGCAAAAGCAAAGAGCCTTTATTCGAGCTAGCTTGAGCTCAATCCCCTACCTGCACCGACGCAGCGGTGAGATACCAGGGAAAGAGAGCGAGTTTCAAAAGGACAAAGGTTTTATTGGGGCCTGGGGGCAGTTGGTGAGGTAATGGCTATGGCCTCAGCTGATTGGCTGGGGAAGGGTCCTGGGGAAGGGTCCGAGTCCTGTTAGGTGAGGGGGGTTACTCAAGGGGAGGAGGTGTGGTCAAGGTGAAGGACACAGAACAAGATGGAGTCGGCTGGCGTAGGCCCGCCTTTTCATTCCCCCCTTGTCATGTAGCTTAGGGACCCAATCATGGGACCGGCTGCATTTATGGTGACAAGGGGAACAGAGTTTGGAGGTTTACGCGAAGTTCTGGGAACCAAGTGTCCCTGGGGTGGCTCTGGGACGTCTGATTAAGTATTGTCCCCGAGCTGGTGTCTATGATCTGCCAGGTGATGTTTTGGGGGGCGTGAGGACTCCCGGCAGCATGAGCAATGACAAGCAGAGTTAACAGAGTTACCAATATTAGGTAGGTCAAATGCGCTGTAGCTTGAGCCTGAGCGGGTTGTGTTGGTCCCGACTGATGGCCCATCGCGTGACAACGTCATTCCGGATCGAGGAGGGGTCCGCTGGCTGAGCGTGGGTGTGATGGACCCAGGTCCCGATGCCGTCTACCTTGAGAGCGGTGGGGGTTGTCAACACCACGATGTAGGGTCCCTTCCAGCGCGGCTCGAGAGTTTCTCGGTGGTGCCTCTTGACGTAGACCCAGTCTCCCGGCCTGTACTGATGAGGTGTCGGGATCGGGCCAGCCTCATCCCAGCCTCGTAGATGGCACGGAGGCGTGGCCAAATGTCCTCGTGCGCCCTCTGGAGCCCGCTCAAGGAAAGAAAAAGTTCTTGATCTTTAAACTCAGCAATAAGTTCAGCTCGAAGGCTGGGAATAACAGGGGGTGGTCTGCCAAACATGATCTCGTAGGGAGTAAAACTCAGAGTGTAAGGAGTGTTTCTAACCTGGTAAAGGGCATACGGTAGGAGAGTCACCCAGTCCCCGCCAGTCTCCATGGTTAATTTGGTAAGGGTCTCTTTTAGGGTTCTATTCATTCTTTCTACCTGTCCTGAGCTCTAGGGCCTATAAGCACAATGTAATTTCCAGTTTGCCCCCACTGCCTTGGCTACTGCCTGTGTTACCTGCGAGATAAAAGCTGGTCCATTGTCTGATCCTACCATGGCAGGAAAACCATACCTGAGTAAGATGTCTTCTAGTAGCTTCTTAGCCACCGTCTGAGCCGTTTCATGCTTGGTTGGGTATGCCTCCACCCAGCCAGAGAAGGTGTCTGTAAATACCAGGTCCTCGTGTAGTGCCTCGTCGAAGATGGTGGGTGAATTTTTGAATCCCTGAGGTAGCCGTGTCCAGGTGAGTTGCCCACTGTAGCCCTCCTCCGGATCATGCCACTCAAAGGCGAACAAGGGTTGGCTCTGGGGTGCCAACGGCAGACTGAAGAAGGCGTCCTTTAAATCTAGTACAGTATACCAGACCCTGGAGGGCGCCAAGGAGCTCAAGAGAGTATATGGGTTGGGAACAGTTGGGTGTATGTCCACGACCCTCTTATTTACTTCCCGGAAGTCTTGTACCGGTCGGTAGTCATTTGTGTGAGGCTTTTTGACCGGCAGTAAGGGGGTGTTCCAGGCAGACTGGCAAGGAACTGGTACCCCTAGGCTTCGTAGTCTCTGGATGTGTGGCTGGATCCCCTTCCGGGCCTCCTGAGACATGGGGTATTGTTTGATCCTTACCGGACTCTCTCCTGGCTTGAGCTCTACCAGGACTGGGGTCCTGTGAGCGGCTAGTCCCATCCCCCCTGTCTCTGCCCAAACTGAGGGGAATTCTTGTAGCCATCTGTCTATATTATTCTCTCTCGGGAGCGCCTCCTGGTGGAGGAGGTATTCATCCTCCAGTTTCATGGTCAGGACCTGGATGGGGTGGCCCTTGCCATCGGTGACCTGAGGCCCCCCTTGTCTGAAAGTTATCTGAGCTCCAATCTTGGTCAGTAAGTCCCGTCCTAACAGCGGGTAGGGGCATTCTGGTATTACCATAAAGGAGTGGGATACCTGGCCCGTTCCCAAATCTACTGTTCTTTGGGTAGTCCATGAATACTGGCTCATACCAGTTGCCCCTTGTACCCAGGACTTCTTGCTAGCTAGTTTTCCTTGTGGGGTGCGGACGACCGAATGTTGTGCTCCGGTGTCGACAAGGAAGTCAATAGGGGTCCCCTCCACTTTAAGAGTTACCCTGGGTTCGGGGAGAGGGTCCGAACCCTGACTCCCCTAATCACTTAGTTCATCCAGCTCTAGGACTTTTACTCGATCAGTCTTGCTTCCCTTCCCGCCAGCTCATTTTGGACAATCTCGGGCCCAATGCCCTATCTCCTTGCAGTATGCGCACTGATCCTTCTGCAGCCTCTGCTTCCCCCCCTTGGTGCTTTTACCTTTTCTTGTGTCGTCTGCCAGCTGCCGGAGACGGCGGTCTCGTTCCTCGGGGAAGTCAGCAGTGGTAGCTAGTAGTATTCTGGCCAGGTCTCGAGTCTGCTTACTGCTGGCAGCCGCCATGGCGCGAGCCTGCTTGTCCTCGGGAGGCTCCCGGTTATTATATACCTTTTCGGCTACCACCAGTAAGTCCTGCAGACTTTTTTCTCGTAGTCTATCTATTTTCTGTAATTTTCTCCTAATATCTATGGCCGATTGGTTTACAAAGGCCATGATAACAGCTGCCTTGCTTTCCGGAGCCTCTGGATCCATGGGGGTATAGGTACGGAATGCCTCCATGATCCGTTCTAAAAAGGCAGCCGGAGATTTATCTTTTCCCTGTTGTACATTTCCTACCTTGGCCAAATTGGTTGGCTTTCTAGCAGCCATTCGGAGACCCCCCATTAGAGTCTGGCGGTAGACCCGGAGCCTCTCCTTACCTTCTGCCGTGTTGAAATCCCACTGGGGCCAAGTTAAGGGGAAGGAGGCATCTATCTGAGCCTGGTTGGTGGTGGGATTTCCGTCTGTGCCCGGAACTAGTTTTTGGGCCCCACTGAGGATTCTTTCTCTTTCTTCAGTCGTGAACAGGACCTGCAAAAGCTGCTGGCAATCATCCCACGTGGGCTGATGGGTAAAAAGAACAGAGTCTAATAAATCAATAAGCCCTGCTGGTTTCTCGGAAAACTTAGGATTCCGAGCTTTCCAATTGTAGAGGTCACTAGTGGCGAAAGGCCAATAGTGATGGGGCTGATTCCCCTCCGCGTCTGGGGGTCCGGTGGCTCGCAGGGGCAGAATAGTGGAGTCGGCGGCGGAGGCGGATTGCCCCCTCTGAGCCCTTTGTCTGGTAAAGGGCGGGCTTCCCCCTGGAGCGTTTCCGCCTCCCGCTCTCGGAACAACGTCTGCCTCCCCCGGAGGGGGAGGATGGTGTTCTTCCGGCATCCTAGAGGGGTTATACGGGGGAGGAAAAATTAATTCTTCTTCAGTACCCCCCCTGTAGGACAGGGTAGAGGGGTGCTGAAGGCTGGGTAAGACTTTTCCTCTTCTCTGTCTCCTGCAAAGCAAGAATGGGTTTTGGCTCCGGAGGGAGCAGGGTTAGGAAGGGCTTAAGCCAAGAGGGTGGGTCTTCTACAAGGTCCTGCCAAGTGATAATGTAAGGGAGCTGATCAAGATGGTCCGCCTTAGGCTGAGAGATGA